CCAACCAAAAAAGGTTTCTATCCATATGTAATAACTTTTAATTAGTCTTAGTTCCTATGAAATATATGCCACAAGTTAAGTTTTGTCTGCTGCAATTACTGTTTAAGTCAACTGCAGAGCATCTAGGATAAGAAATCTTGGTTTTACCACTCTTTTCGCCACATGCTATCTGATTGGAACAACAGTTGCAACAAGGAAATAGGGCAATACACTGCCGCCAATCAGAGAACATAAAGGTACTGTATGGTAAATTTATTTGACTGACGGAAGTGTATTGGCCAATTTTTCTGTTGCAAAAACAAACAAAGTTTGTCATATATATATATATCATGGAAAAGATTGCTGTATATCAAGCCTAAGCTTAAAGTGCATATAACCCCTAAAATCAAACCACTTTTATCATATTCTAGACATCACCAGCTTTCAAATTATATACATACGAGGTCGATTGGATAATTCCTCGGCGAGATATTGAGGCTTAAAAGTGCGATTTTGGGCTTCCTGTGTCAGGGTGGACGTGAAAATATGATCTGAGAAAGAGAGTAATCTGTGACGTCAAGATAGGTATCGGAGCATGCGTACTAATTACTGAGCTAATCCAATTTTCGTATGCTTGTTCCATCAACCTTGTGACGGTCAAGAACATGCCGTCCGCTCACTTGTATTTTATTCGTTAGGGAGTCGATATTTTTTGTAGGATTTCTTTGAAAAGCCTTCTCTTTAGCGATCGAAAATAAGATTATTTTGTTCAACTGAGTTAAGCGATTCTGTTAGCACTCGTACTTTGATTATAGCAATATAATGTTTGTGTTTGATGCTCGACGCTCACTCAATTCAAGAAATAAAAGCGTTCTAAGAACTCCAAAAAATCGAACGATTCTACAACCGATTCTAAGCAAAACCTCAAATTCTCAAGAGAGTACCAGATTTTATTTTATTGGAGATATATTTCAAGATAACAGACTTATATAATCGATAAAAAATATATACCGTATGTCAAACGTAAACAGTATAAGTCTCGAATGATTACGAGTCAAAAGCTGGACAAATTCAGAGAAACTATTAAAAACCTGTCCTTGTCCAATTAATTTTACACTGTTCTTCTTTATGATGTAAACTTTAAAACATTTTCGCCAGACAAGCGGTTCGCTTCTGGGCTGGCCCGTCTTCAAACATATCCATGATCTGAAGGTACTCGTCCTTGCATTTTAAGACTTATTATTCTGTGCTCTCGAACTCTGGTCCTCTTTGCTTAATAAGCTATTGAAAACTTTAAAACTCCAGGAATAGAACTGTATTCACATTCATCCAATCATAGCTCAATTTAGAATCAGAAAACTGATAGTAATGCCATAAATAAAAACAGTCAAAACAACGAAACTTTAAAGAGGTCAAATATATTACATCTGCGCATGTGCCTGGTTCTCGTCAAGTCAGTGTTCTTAGTGTTTGACAGGTCAAGGGTACCTATCTTGTCGTCATTTCCGGTAGCTCGTCCCAGACCCAAAATTCCCGGCCAG